CAAAGGACGTCTGGCTTGACCTAAGCATGGCTACATTGTTCTAAAAGTTTAACTTTCAACACCACTGCTTCAAAAACAGGGAAAAGATCACGTCTCAATTATAAAAAAGTTTGCTCAGAACAGGACAGAGTCTGGGCAGCAATACTGCTCAGTTGATGCTCGAGTATCTGCTGTACATTTCTGAGAGCACATGGGACTGTCGACATGTTCTGTAAGAAACAACTGCTTTCAGAAAGAGTTCTTCATAGAAAAAGTTGGCTCAGTGCTTAAAGGGGATATACCCATAGTACATTTCCTCTGTCATTCTGACAGATTTGACTATTTCCAAGAAGAGATGGCTCCTTCCTCTGAAAGGGAAAAGATCCATAATGCTACTGTTTGACTCCAATGGATAAAACAATTTGCTAGCCTACAGTTTCAATTCACTGCAACTCCATCATTTTCTCCATCTTAAAACACAAAGCCTCTAACAGGAAAGGACTGGGATTGCCATCTCAATCCCCAGGGGAAGGACACTGGCAACAGACACTTCATGATTAATTGAGAACAGATAAGGAAGACTTAATGCCTGCAGGCCCTGACCCTCCTGCCATTTTCTGGGAAACTAAAAGATAAAGGGGAGAGTTGCAAGAAAGCCCAGAACAGACAGAGAGGCAGAGACCAAGACTCTGAACAGCTCCTGACTGTTGGAGAAGGGCTTGCAGAACAAGGCCATGGGTCTGTGCAGGAGCTGGTTACAGCCATCTGAGGTAAACAAAGGAAAAAACCCAGGGTACAGTTATGCTAACAAGGAAGGAGATTCAGGGCACAGTTATGCTAACAAAGGGAGAAACTGAGGTACACAGCAGCCTTGATCATGATGGTAAAAAACATTGGGGGAAAAAAAAAACCACCAAACCAGAAGAAGGAGGATGTTGTGACATACCTGAAATGCCACAAGGGGCTGGGATATTATAATGTAACCTTTTAGATGTATCCAATAGATTTATGATTAGTGTGCATAATGATAGTTACTGCTTATATAAGATGTGATTTCTTTCAATAAAGTTGAAGCGCTTGCTCTATCATTCACACTGAATCGACTGCTTGCTTCCTCTGTCCACCGCACCCCTTCCCGAAGCCCTTAGAGATGTCGCCTTAGAGATGGAGCAACTCTGTCCCAAATAGGTGCCCCCGCCAACGTGTGTGCCCCCTCTGTTATCCTCCCTGCGAGGTGCCACTTCTGGCCTACCTCTGCTCTATACGAGAGACTGTGGGGCCTCTCTGTGAGCACCTCCCCTGCTGTGGTTCCTTTGGCTGGGATGCCCTTCTTCCTGTCGAGGCATCTGCACTCACTCGGGGATGGGAGAAACAAATGAAATGTCCAATTCAAGTGGTGTTTATGAAGAAGAGGCTGGTGCTGATGAAGGAGATGCTCCCTACGAGGCCTCTGGAGCAAGGCTCCCATAGTCACAGGGCACCTACCTCTCTGGGGAGGCTTTCACAAGTGCTCTTCCTGTCTGGTGCTCCTCACAGTTGCTCTCATTTGCCTTATCTGAACACTGCCCTTCCCCTCCTGGTGTTTGGTTGCAGTCTGAAATGCTTAATTTGCTCTAAATCCTGTTGGGCCGGTTAAATCTCTCTTTATAATGTTCTTTCACTCAGTTCTTTGTTGCTGAGCCGGCTCCCTCAGGTTGGTGGGATAATCCAGGCTCATGGCAAGCAAAGGGAGAGCAATGAGCACTAACGTGTTCCTCCTTTTCTGCTCACGGGGAAGCAAATGTTGTAGTCTCCATGGGTCGTTTTGTTTCCCGATTGCTTCTGTCCCTCTTGGAGGTCACAGTCCTGCTCCCAGCTGGTGGCCTTAGACAGCGTCTCTCTTCTGCAGTGGATGACTTCAGGCTTTGGCTTGGAAAGCTTAAACAGGGTGAACCGGTCTGGTAGGCAGCCAGTCCTGCCCAGACAATACACTCCAAGTCAAGTTTTTGGCAGAGTTGCCCTGCTCCTAACTGGCTGCTGCCCAGGAAGCTTGCTGCCACCTCGAAATCCCCTGCATGCCCATCCTTCCCAGGGACGGCTATGACAGGGCTTGGGCAACACAGTCACGGAAGGTGGAGGTGGGATGTGCTGCATCCATGGTCACTGGATGTGAAGCTCCCTTTCTTTTTTGTCTGAGCTTTGAGAGATATTCCCATAGAGATTCTTGGTTCTCCTTTCTTTGCCCTGACAAGCTGACAGAGGGAGGCTTTGTAAAGGTTTGGAGACTGTCTTAGCTTCCTTTTCCATGGTGTATTTGGTCACTTAGCTGTATTAGTTTTTAGGTGGTGCTTTTTCCCTGCAAATTTAAGATGGCAGAACTAGTAAATGCTGTTTCATGTTTCCAATACTGCCCTGTGGTTTTTGCATCGGGAATTCTCAGCCCAGTAATTTTCTGGGGATGTACTGACAGGTTGGTCTAGTGTCTTATCCTCTGTGCAGTGGGTTGTTTATTTCCTGTTCTTTAGGGAGATGGGCGGCCAGGCTCCAGTGGGAGGTATTTAAATGCTGTTTTAAAAGGGGAGAAACAGAATCTGCTAGGAATAAACGTGTTCTCTATCCAAAGTGGCACTGAGGTTTCATGGATGGGCAGTGTCAATAACCTACACTCTGCGAGGATCTCCTCGGGAGCGTTGTAACGCAGATACCGCAGCTGTTGTACCAGACACTGAACATATGGGTAAGAAAAAATGCCTGTCCTGAAAAGCTTAAACTGAGACAGGACAGGGGACTCATCCAGTCGGTTTTGGAGCACAGAGTCAGCCTAGGTCTTGGCTCCTGACCAAGGAGTGGTGTGTTTGCTGAGAAGTAGTGCCTGCCCTGAGCTTTCTGTCCGTGCAGAAGTCGGGCTTCAGACAGGGAGTTAAGCTGGGTGACAGCAGATTCATCTAGCCGAGCTGCATCTGGGAAAACCAGACAAGAGTGGGTAAATAAAGTTACTGAAGTAATTTGGTGGGATCACTCAGTTTTCTCAGCTGTAAAGGCAGGATGTGATAATGCACCTCTGTGTGGAGCTGTAGGATGTACTGGGAGTCGGGTACAAGGACATGAGCTAGAGGAGCGGGATCAGACATTGAGGGTACTACAGATACTGTGGCAGAAATTTGCTGTCTGGCAGTTGTGCAAGTCTCGTGTATCTTTGAAGTCACCTGTTGCACCCCTTGGAGAATTTGCACACCTCCTGTCCAGCCTGTTACATCTTCTGCACGGGTGGATAGGGCAGAGAACAGGCAAAGATGGGACAAACACGGGCAGAACCCACTTCATGCAGCAGTTAGAGCTCACCGATGCAGGACGGTGGTGTTCAGCCCTGCCTCTGTAGCCTGCTGGATGTGAGACCGTCATCTTGAGCTGCTTGTGTAGGAGCACAGCCTGATGGACTGTGCACTTAGATCAGCTCAGGATGCTTTGTTGGGGGAGCCTGAGTTCAAATTCTTTAAAAATAGATGCATGGGAGGTGGGACCCTCTGCTGCTGTATCGGCCGTTAGCCAGTGAATGCATCAGCCAGTTGCTTCAGAGCCCCAGGAAAGGGTTTCCTCACCCAGAGCTGGCTGCCACATTCCCCCCCCATCTTGAACACACATCGTTCGTTTGGCTTGTGAAGTTCAGGCCTTTGCACGTGAATCAGGGACCCCCACGCAGAGAGGAGCAGCCCTGTGGCTGCTGTCACGAGGCGGCGCGAACTTGTGCTGTGTATCGGAGAGTCTCTGCCGGCTCCTCTGCTGCCAGGATTCCCTGGGAAGCAGCGCTGATCTGGAGGGAGTGCTTTTCTTACTCCTGATAATCTGCTTGCTGTGCCCACCCACGAGGGTGCTTAATAGCTGTCCTGACTGCTAGATGCTAATTACTCAGCAAACTCATTCCTAGGCTTGATTGGGTAAACACAGTGAACATTTTCAGCGCTTCCAGCCATGAGGGACGTCTGCTGTGGCAGCGAGCCCACCCCTTGCCAGGCTTTGCCACCAGGACCTCTCTGTTCTGTGTTGTTTCCAGCTTCTGCCCTGGATCTCTGCATCTCTCCCTGCCAGCTGGGCTTGTTGCTGCCACCTCCCCTGCATCAATGGGTTCCCAGCACCTTTCCAGCTGCATCGGGCTGCTGTCCCCCTCCTGCATGGCTGGGCTCTGCTTGTTTTACTGCTGGGCACCATCTGCAGCCCCTGGAAAAAAGGCCAGCTCTGTTGACCCAAGAGGAGCCTGTCCCTTGTGTGCCAGCTCTGAACGGGTCCTTGTCTCTGCCGTGGGAGGCGAGACTGTGCTGTGTACCGGGGGGTGAGAAGGAATTGTTTTCCAGAGATGGTTTTTCAGGCTGGGGTGGCTGTGAATAGTTACCAAGATGGAGGTAATAGCTCAGGATTCCTGTCTTGCATCCAGAGACTCTATAACCAGTGATGAGTGCTTGTATAGGAGCTCTTCTCCAAGGTGTTGCTCCCCATGTAGTGCCTGCAGCCCTCAGGCTCCCTGTCCACAGGGAGGGTGTGGGTGCCTATGCCGGGTTGCAAACTGTCTGCGTCACTGACAATGTAAAAGTGTCATCAGCATTCAAGTTAAAAGATTAACAATGTCTAAATTAATGACGCACTTGTGTTAGAAGACTAACGGCGTCTAGATTAACGATGGCTAAAAGTGAAAGTATTTTTACTCATTAGGGAAGAAACAGATAAGAAAGGAATCTGTAGAGTAACAAAGCAGAAATTTATCTACCAGTTGTGCAGGCTTAGTAGCGCTTGTTGAAAGTGCTGAGAGGAACGAGTTTTTGAAATGAGCATGCGCCAGAGCAACACACGGATTTGCTGTTTTTCTTGTTTTTCTAATAAAGATTGGAGCTTGACTGTTAACCATATTAGTGTGTGTCTTGTCTCACAGCCTCGTCCTGCAAATAAGGGGGTTCCTGCTACAGGAGGGGAGCTGAGGGACGGAGATGTGACTCATTTTAGGCCACATAGGAAGTAGTTGATTAAGCTGGAATTTGGACCAGAGTCAAACCATGTACCGTAGCATTGGCTGCAAACCTGAAAGCCAGTGTGGGGTTCATTCCCTCAGGTATGTTGCAGAAGAGCCCCAGTGTCCCTGACTGGAGTCCTTCTCTGTCCCACAGGGCTCAGAAACATGAATTCCCAAACCTGGAAATCCTTTTGAAGGAAAGAAGAATGAACCTCAGTGTGTAAGTCAGGGGAACTGAGACATGTGGTCACTCAGACTGAATTGGTGGTGCAAAAAAGAGCAGATCTCAAATCCCAGCTCAGGTTGGAGAGAGCCTGAGAGTTTAAAGAAGGCTTCTTTTTGCTGCTGCAAAGAACAAATCTCCAGCTGAATGTGGCACTTTGGATCTAAGATTTTTGAAGACAGAATATTATTGAAGCTGCTTTTGGTCTATATTCAGCTCCTAACAACAGGCAAGAAGTGCAACCCCAGACTAGGTTGAGGAGATTATTTGTGGGTGCTCTCTGGCTCCTTGCATTGTTGTCTTTTTTCTTTCCCTCTTCTGCAGCATTCAACCTGTCTGTGGAGCACAGCATCCTCTGCTGGATCTCCGGCTCACTCATAAAAGTAAGTGTTCATCTTCTGCAGATGCAGGCCAAGAGGCTTTGCAGGTTTTTTGCTCAGTCCTGCAGTGTGTGGAGGTCTTCAGCACCCTCTGGCACTGTGATGTTCCAGCAGAGAAAGGCAGCAGTGGCATGTGATGCTGCCTTGAGCTCTGCAAAAGCTTGTGGGGAAAGCTCATCTGCTGGTGTCCTTTGTGGCCAGAAATCCCTATCGTACCAGTCACATCAAAGGAGATGGGTGTATTATTTTAGCAATGGTGTCTGAGCCCTCTGCTCTCTTTTGGAGACAGAAGAATTAAGGGAAGGGGAGGCAAAGCTGCCCAGCAGCTGCGAGGCTGGAGAACCACAGCCCCTTCCTGGCAGAAGGCAGAGCTGATCTGAACTGCCTCCTTGTCTCTATCATGTGCTGTGTAGTGGTGAACTTTCCCTCTTTTTTGTGATGCTTCAGGTCGTGGATTTTGACTCCTGTAGCTGAAAGGTAAATGCAAAGGCTCCTCCTCTGCCTGAGAGAAGAGCAGGTTGACCTGTCTGCTGGGATCCATCGCAGCTGTATCAGGAGCATCCGTGAGCGCAGACTGGCTCTAACTCCTGACGTGCCTCTCTCCAGGTTGCAGGACTTTTTCTGGGCGTTAATCTGCCAGTTTTCTCTAGGGTGGGGGGAAGCAGAGCCGGAGGAGTAGTACATCTCTCTCCTTTGCCCTTCTGAGCTGGGAAGCCTGGCACCTCTCCAACTGTGTGCTGGCACTGTGGTCTCCATGCCCTGCCATCGTACCAGCTCAGGCTCTGCCTCCCACCAGCAGGCAGCCTGGAGAGACTTAACAGGTTCCCTGGGTTTGGGAGGAGGAATGGGGAAACTAGAAGAAGGGACTGTCTGGTTGGAGTGAGGAGGTAGGGAAGGAAAGAAAATGGACTGGTCTGCCAGCATGGCTCTGATACTGTTTCTGTCTCCCAGATTCATCAGGGACTGCTCCAAGGCCAATGCGTTGCCTATGAAAAGCAAGAAGGCCTCCAGCTTTCACGAGTTTGCCTGCAACACCAGTGATACCTGGGACATCGGTGATGATGAAGATGAGGACTTCTCTTCCTCCTCTTCTTCTTTGCAGACTCTGAACTCTAAAGTGGTTGAGGCCACAGCAGCCCAGGTCCTGGAGAACCACAGCAAGCTGCGGGTGAAACCGGAGCGGGCCCAGTCTGCTCTCAGCGACGTGTCCACCACCAAGTCCAGCAGTGAGGCCCAGCTCTCCAGGACAGCTGGTAAGAGCCGTCCTCAGGACCAGCCTCGTGCTCTGGCACTCCCTTGACTGGCTGCTGAACTCGGCCCCTTGCTGCTATTTGCGTGTTACGGGCAAGAGGCTGTGGCACAGCCTGTAGGCTCAACAGAGGCTTTTGCCTCCTTGTAGTATCCTGTACTCCAGGGAACCATTTCTGGAGGCCTGGCCTTAATGCCTCAGTCTCCTCTGCTGCTCAGTATCCTGCGTACAGGCCCAGAGGATCCCGTGTTCTGGGTGCTGGGGGATTGTGGAGATCTGTTAAGCTCTTGCTTGGGGTTGCTCACTGTCTGCTT